ACCCGCCTCAGCCTCCCAGAGTGCTGAGATTACAGGCCTGAGCCACCGCATCCGGCCAACTTTGCCTAATTTTTAAACCCATCTTGTATCTGGTACCACAGCATCAGTCTCCCTTCACAGCTTCCTTGTTTAAGTGACTGCAAAGCGTTGTCTCTTTCATTGTCATTGTACCAATCAGTTGGTGTGGCTCTCCCTGCTCCAGATCCTGAACAACTACCTCCAGTTTGAGGTGTCCCATGGCCCCTCCGATGTGGAGTCCGTGATGCTGTCCAGGTTGCGGGTGACCGACGGGGAGTGGCACCACCTACTCATCGAGCTGAAGAATGTTAAGGAGGACAGTGAGATGAAGCACCTGGTCACTATGACTTTGGATTATGGGATGGACCAGGTGAGCTGGTACCTGCACCTCCTCTGGGGATGGACCCTCTGGCCCAGGGAAAAACAGAATGACCCCTTGATGTGCCAGGACCTGCCAGAGACCTTGTGGATTTGGGGAGGCACTTTCTGGGCCCCCGCAAGTGGGCTTCTGTTCTGCCCTGTACCGAGGTCACTGGCATCTTCCTCACCTCCTTTACCCAGATGCCCCACCCCCGACAGTCAGCAGCTGACTTCCTCCAGCTGCATTTCTCAGCATGGTGCTGTTGGTGCCTTCAGCAGTGGTTTCTTTTAGCAAAGCCATCTTGAGCAACTTGCGCATGCAGGCTCAGCACCGTGTCTTTAGGGTACTGAAGTAGCAATGCCAGGGCCCGTGCCCTCAGAGCATGGATGGGGAGCAAAACTGGGAAAGCAATGAGACCCAGGCCCTGGACAGGCCTGTGAGACACCAGGGAGCCACGCCTGTCCTAGCAGGCAGATGGCGCCATCCCAGACAATGTTCAGAATACTTACTGAACCAAACTGGCTTTCCACAATTGGCAGGCGGGTAACTCAAGATGTTGTCTGTGAAATGCCCACACACTTAAGGGGCTACCTGGGATTTCCAAGAGCTCTTGGAGCCAAGGCTCATCTTACAACACAGACCTGGGAGTAAATAGGTGTGTTCCAGGCACCTGCTTTTCTGGGACTGGATCTCAGCCAAGACCCTCTTGGGTTCCCACAGTGTTAATGGGTGAACGAATTTCCGTTCGCTGCCATCTTCCTGATTCGCCAAACTCTGTCACAGCGGGGCTGGTTTAGCGTTGTGCCTTTGACAGAGGTGGGACAGTTGCTCACGTTGACCCCACTGGCCGCTTCAGCTAGGCTGGGACATGGACACCCATCCTCTGGCCTGGTCCCCTCGCCCTGATCATCACAGCCAGCCACGCTGTCCAGCTGGGCCCAGCTCTCTCTTTGGAGGCCCAGATGTCCTCAGGCTCTGGGGAGCTTGTTGAAGCGACTGTTTAGGCTTCCAGCACATTCTTCAGGCTGGAAGACGTTTCTAGGATGGTGGACTCTGCCCCCAGAGCTCCGCCCCTCTCTCCACACAGAACAGGGCAGATATCGGGGGCATGCTTCCCGGGCTGACAATCAGGAGCGTGGTGGTCGGGGGCGCCTCTGAAGACAAGGTCTCCGTGCGCCGTGGATTCCGAGGCTGCATGCAGGTAGGTGGGGGCGGTGGCGGTGGAGTGGGGGGGGCCTGTCCCTCACAGGTGGCTCCGAGGCTGCCAGCACCACCGTTGGTGCTGTTGGTTACCCTGTTAGCTTTCAGTGAGTGAAGAATTTGTCTGATAGACATCCCCACTTTAACAGCTCCTGTTTCCTCTTTAGATCCATCCTTCCCCGCAGTTCCCCTTGGCATCCTGGCCGTCCCTGGCCCCCACAGCTCCCCACTGCCATGCCAGCCACCTGCCCCTTGCCTTTGTGAAGCATCCTGAATTGAGCCCCTCGCTGCCGCCCCTACCCAGTCCAACCACAGACGTCACCCAAGTAGGCCCCGTGCCTGTCCCCTGGAGCCAGGGGTTCCAGCCGAGGGAACTGCTCTCAGAGTCGCTCAGCTCTCAGCCCCCTTGGCTCTCAGCCCCCTCGGCTCTCAGCCCCCTCGGCTCTCAGCCCCCGCGGCAGGGATGTCCACTCCTCACACTCCCACCGTGCACCCCAGGAGATCGGGCCGGCGTGCCCTCTGAGCTCCTCACCCAGCCCTCCACTGCACTCCGGCCACCAGGCCATGGGGCGGGAGGAGCAGCCCTGCCCACCCCAGCTCTGCAGATAAATGAGGCGTCACAAATGAATGCCTCGCGAGGGACCAGAGAGGTCTCAGGGTTCCCTTAACCCCTACTTACCTTTCCGGGCTCCTGCAGCCCCAATGCCCTTTCCTTAATGCAGGGAGTGAGGATGGGGGGGACGCCCACCAACGTCGCCACCCTGAACATGAACAATGCGCTCAAGGTCAGGGTGAAGGACGGCTGTGATGTGGAGGACCCCTGTACCTCGAGCCCCTGTCCCCCCCACAGCCGCTGCCATGACACCTGGGAGGACTACAGCTGCATCTGTGACAAAGGTGGGACCGCCCTCCCGGGGCCCTTCAGTGACAGGGAGGCCCCTCATGACTGAAACACAGGAGGGGGGCTCAGTTTGGACGTTGGTGTCCCCAGCCGACTCCCTGTGGTTCTGTGGAGCGCTGAGCTTTATAACAAGTAGGCCTTGCCTAGAGAGAGACTCTGAGCCTCTTCCTTACTCGAGGCACAGAGTGCCCCAGGTGCTCTCCTCAGCACATGGGGTGATCAGCAAAGAAATGATGAAAAGTAAGCCTGGGCGCAGTGGATCACACCTGTAATCCCAGCACATTGGGGGGCCAAGGTGGGTGAGTCACTTGAGGCCAGGAGTTCAGGACCAGTCAGGCAACATGGTGAAACCCCATCTCTACCAAAAAAAAAAAAAAAAGAAAAGTTAGCCTGCATGTGGCCCCAGCTACGTGGGAGACTGAGGTGGGAGGATCACTTGAGCCTGTTAGGCAAAGGTTGCAGTGAGCTGAGATCATGCCACTGCACTTCGGCCTGGGCAACAGAGCAAGACTGTGTCTGAATGAATGAATGAATGAATGAATGAGTGAAAAGTACACATTAAGGAAATCCTCCCTTCAGGGTGGCCTCTGAGATTTGAGGTGCTGAAGTCATCTGCTGGTGGCCATTCCCCATGTGTCCTGGGGCGGCCTGGGGCCCGTGTTCCAAGGCTCTCACCCTCCTTGGGGCAGCCGGGAAGGCCTTCCTCTCTGCATTCACCGAGTCTAACCTGCCTAACGCTGTGTTTTTGGGGACCCTGTGGCAGCCTGTCTCTTCCCTCTGCCGAGTACCAGGGAAAGTCAGATCTCGGGGAGACAGGTTGCTCCAGATATTTTAACGTGGAAGGTCTCATGGATTCTGGGTGGAGGTAATGCTGGCTCTGTCCTTGCAGGGTACCTTGGAATAAACTGTGTGGATGCCTGTCACCTGAACCCCTGCGAGAACATGGGGGCCTGCGTACGCTCCCCCGGCTCCCCGCAGGGCTACGTGTGCGAGTGCGGGCCCAGCCACTACGGGCCGTACTGCGAGAACAAGTAAGAGCAGCCCCGGGACCTCCCTCTGCCTTCAGAGTCCACGTGGCTGTGTTCCCTCTTCAGTCAGTGTCTTCTCTTTCTTATTTTGACCTGAAGATATGTGTAATTCTGGATAACAGGGACATATTTTTTTTTTCAAAATTGGCATGAATTAAATGATAATTTTTTTTTTTTTTTTGAGACAGAGTCTTACTCTGTCATCCAGGCTGGAGGGCAATGGTGCGATCTTGGCTCCCTGCAACCTCCGCCTCCTGGGCTCAAGCGATTCTCCTGCCTCAGCCTCCCAAGTAGCTGGTCCTACAGGTGCCTGCTACCATGCCCAGCTAATAATTTTGTATTTTTAGTAGAGATGGGATTTCACCATATTGGTCAGGCTGGTCTCGAACTCCTGACCTCAAGAGATCCACCTGTCTCAGCCTCCTAAAGTACTGGGATTATGGGTGTGAGCCACCACGCCTGGGCAATGAGAATCGATTTGGACATCTCAAACTAACCCCATTGGATCATGTGTCCACGCCAGAAATGTGCAGTATGACTCACCCGGAGTCCTCGCTGTGCCCAGAGCGAACAGACCCCATGAGATGCAGTGAGACATGTGCGATTTATAGAGAATGCTTTCTCTCTTGAGTCGGTGGGGTTGAGGTCGTGTCTGATGAGTGTGGAGATCCTGGTGTGGTTAGGACAGGCAGCAGCATGCTCTTTGGGCTCCCAGAGTGCCCTTTGCACAGGGATCGCTGGGCACAGTGTGTAGTCATTACAAGCGTCACTTTGTCCAAGGTGGAGCTGCTTGGTTCTTCATAAACCAAGGTTCTAGGCTGCCGTGGAGGTGATGCCCCCATGGCTCATTGTCCTCAGCTGCTGGTGGCCCTCAGGTGTGGGGACACCTGCTACGCTCTGTCCTTTGTCCACCTGAGCCTAGAGCAGGTGCTGTGATCCTGGCTGTGACCCCATGAGCGGGAAGCAGCCTGTGCCCTGGAGCTGGTGACCTCACGAGAAGATGGCACCACGTCATTCTTGGATACCAGCAAGATCTAATGCAAGGGAGAGCTTAGAGGAGGTGCCCTGGGAGTGGAGAGGGAGGTGGGAGCCAGTGAGGCTGAAGCCGGAGGGCTTTCTGGGAACAGAGCCAAGCTGGAGAGGGGTAAGGGGATGACGCTGGTCTAGAGAGGCCTGGGTGGGGACAGGGGTGGGCCCACAAGCCAGGAACAGAGCTTGGCTGTGTGGAGACCCTGGGGGCCCAGCACTAAAGTGGCAGAACCGGGTCTGGTCTTAAGGAACCGTCAGCTGCCGCATGGAGCACAGCTTGGAGCGGGGTGGAGGGGGTTGCTAAGAGGCTGATCCAGCGTCTCCATGCCCGGTGCCGCGGTCACCAGGGCTGCAGGGGGGTGAAGGCTCTGGGGCCCCCACACTGCACACACACATCCATAAACACCAGACTCTATCTCTGGCCTGGTTTTCTTTGTGACCCTGATTTGTACACAGTCCTTAATACTTGCTCATCAAGTGAGTGAATGCTAGAGCTGGCAGCTGGGTAGAGGGAACTCGGTTAGCCAGGATGGGGAATGCAGGAGCCCGCAGGACACTCGGGCGGGGCCGTTGCAAGCAGGTGGGCCTCCAGGTGACTGCGCAGGTGCAGCCCCCGTCAGGAACAGGTAGGATGACTCATGCACAGCAGCAGCCGGCACCTCGGAGGCCTGGCTCTGTCACTGCAGTGTTGCTCATCTTCAGTGTCTGTTGCTCACCGCCGGGGGAGGCTCAGGGAGGCAGGACTGGCTTCCACTGGGTTCTGAGTGCATGCACGTGTGCTGCTGATCTAAGGGGCACGCTACACCAGGGCACGGCTGCCCTGAGCATCTGTGGGGCTGGTGCCCAGGGGACCTGGGGGACAACAAAAGCTGCCACACTCCCTGTTGAGGAGCTTCCCGCGGGCATCTCATGCTGGCACTCACCCCAAGCGCACTTTGAGAAGTTGTGCCAGGCAGCTGAGTTCAGTCTGCCTGTGTGGGGCTGCGTCGTGAAAGGCCAGCCCTTGCGGTAGGGTTCACTGTCATTAAGCCCCAGTGAGCCAGGCGTCATGTGGATGTGGGGCAGACAGTGGGCATAGATGCCGTCCCAGTCGCTTTGGGCATGGCAGATCTGTGGGTGGGGGGTGAGGTTGGGAGCCAGTAGAGGGGAGACTGAGGCCACATAATGTGAAAGCGAAGTTCCCAGAGCTGGACCCAGCCAGGCCTCCTGGGCAGCCATCTCCACACTGCCAGCGGGCCTTTTCTTGTTCCGGAAAGCACAGTTGCATAAACCTTCCAGCTGCCCTCTTATTTTCCCCGCAGACTCGACCTTCCGTGCCCCAGAGGCTGGTGGGGGAACCCTGTCTGTGGACCCTGCCACTGTGCTGTCAGCAAAGGCTTTGATCCTGATTGTAATAAGACCAACGGCCAGTGCCAATGCAAGGTGAGGCCCAGCCCCCATGGTCCCTGCACGCCCACCCCAGGCCCTGAGCCCAGGGAGATGGCTGTGTGCGCTAACACACATGCACAGATGCCCCTACATACACATACGCCTACACACCCTGCCCGTACACACCCCCTACATACACACATCCCTACACACACCCTGCCTGTACACACTCACACCTGCACACACTCACACCTGCACACACACCTGCAGACACACCTGTGCCCACTCACACATTTGTGTACAGATGTGGGTTTTGGTTTCCTTACTGTTCCTCCGTGCTCTGTAGTTTACATTTTCCACATGTAAACTACGGGTTCAGCCCCGCCAGCCCCTACCCATGGAACAGGAATCCCTGCCTGCTCCCAGCCCACTGCCCATGGCTATGGGCAGCCCAGCCTTTTCTGAGGGCTGGCTCATCTCTGGCACCACCCCGGCCCTCCTGGCCTCCTGGTTGGCCATTTTCCTGGTCTTTTTTTTTTTTTTTCAGATGGAGTCTCGCTGTGTCGCCCAGACTGGAGTGCAGTGGTACAATCTTGGCTCACCGCAGCCTCTGCCTCCCAGGTTCCAGCGATTCTTCTGCCTCAGCCTCCTGAGTAGCTGGGATTATAGGCGCCCACCACCACGCCCAGCTAGTTTTTGTATTTTTAGCAGAGACAGGATTTCACCATGTTGGCCAGGCTGGTCTTGAACTCTTGACCTCAGGTGATCCATCCGCCTCAGCCTTCCAAAGTGCTGGGATTACAGGTGTGAGCCACCGTGCCTGGTCATTTTCCTGGTCTTTACCAAGTTGACGTCTCATGACAACAGCAGTTTTAAAATGGAAAGCGTCACTAAGTGTGTTATGCCCCACCCCCGTCCAGGGCTGTCCGTCCTAACCTGCGTGCAGCACGGAGCTCACATCTCACGTCTCCAGATATGCGCACGTGTTCTCAGTGCAGACTCTAGGGACCCCTCCCTACCCCTCTCAGGATACATCACCTCCTTCAGGATCTTCGTGTACACCACAGCCATAGCACTCACAGTAACTTGAAACCCAGATGTTAGGTCTGAGGGTAACAGGAGCCTGGGCGAGGGACATGAGCTTCCTGCAGATGCGGCCGGCCCTAGGAGGGAAGCTGGCATCAGGGTACCCTTGGATGCCATCCCATGATGTCAGTAGTGTCCTGAGTGCCCGCAGTGGTTCCAACAGCAAGTGGGACTTGTGTCCTAAAAGGCTCAAATTAAACAGCTCTCCTGGGTCCGGGTTGGTCCACACATGTCACCAGGTGGTGGTGGTGGCACAGTGGGTGGCAGAGCAGAGGGGACGTTGGAAGTGAATTGGCGAAAACTTGCCTATGATTTTTTTCTCATTCAAAGTTATAGGCAGGGTGTGGTGGCTCATGCTTGTAATCGCAGCTACTCCGGAGGCCGAGGCAGGAGGGATTACTTGAGCCCAGGAATTCAAGACCACCCTGGGCAACATAGTGAGACTCCCACTTCTACAAAAAATAAAAACGTTAGCTGAGCGTGCTGGTGCATGCGTGTGATCCCAGCTACTCGGGAGGCTGAGGTGGGAGGATCACTTGAGCCCTGGAGGTTGAGGCGGCAGTGAGCTGTGATTGTACCACTGCATTCCAGCCTGGGCAACAGAGTGAGACCCCATCTCAAAAAAATAGAAAAACAAAGTTATACAAAATGTAATAAAAAAACATGAAGATCGCAGTCACCCCATGTCGCCTCCCAGCTGTGATTGTTAGTGTTTTAGCATCTCTTCTGGGCCTGCCGCTTACCGCCATTTTACACACAGTTGGAGTCCCCGCCTGTCACACAAGTCTGAACGTTGCTCACGAGTCTCCCCAAGTCACAGCCTGCCCCATGTTCTGGGGCGGGGTTGGGGGGTTGCTACTTGGGCCTGGGGAGGCCCAGTGACTGGCCCAGGCAGTGTAGCCGGTAAATGGCAAGGGTCAAGCATGAACCCAGGACTTTCTGAATCCAAAGTACAAGCTCTTGATTGTCACCCTGACCCACCCAATAGTGGACGTTCAGGTGGCTTCTAATTTTTCCAAACAACTTTAAAAAAACGCCCAAGGGCTATCCCCACGCGTAAGCCTCCATTTGGATCTCTGATTCTTTTTAGGACAAATGCAAAGGTGCTCGCTGCTGAGATTTGCTAAGACATGAGGGAGAGCATGCTTCCCGGAAGAATTGTTCTCCTGGGTCCGGCCTTGTGGGGCCCTGGGAGGCAGCCCCTGTTGGGAGTGGGATGTGGGCAGAAGGTAGCCATGAGGGGTGAGATGGCTGGTGGCCGACACACGCACCCAGGTGGGAGTCTGGACGTTGCTTGGGAAATGCGCTGCAAGGTAGGGCCTTTCCTGGGCATCTGAAGTCACAGGCCCTGCCTCTGGCTTTTGCAGGAGAATTACTATAAGCCCCCAGCCCAGGATACCTGTCTGCCCTGCGACTGCTTCCCCCATGGCTCCCACAGCCGCACTTGCGACATGGCCACCGGTCAGTGTGCCTGCAAGCCCGGCGTCATCGGCCGCCAGTGCAACCGCTGTGACAACCCGTTTGCCGAGGTCACCACATTCGGCTGTGAAGGTCTGTGTTGCCCCTTGACACCCTGCAGGTTACAGCGCAGGGACAGGCTGCTACCCTGGCGTGCACGTGGGTGCATGCAGGCCAGCTGTTTGGGGGAACCCTGGGCTCCCTTGTGTTCTGCTTTCTCTTGACCTTCTAGAAACCTGGTTCTGCGTGAGGGGGTGTGGGTCAGAGCCTGGTCACCCCCTCTCCAGCTCTGACATGGATGGGGGCAGGGGAGATGCTAGGGTTCGGTTCTTGGTGGGAGCAGGGCCTCCTGCAGGGAGGCACACGCAGACAGTGGTGCCTGTTTGTGGTGGTGGGCACGGCATGCCCCGCTGAGCAGCCTTCTCTCCTCTCTACCCCAGTGATCTACAACGGCTGTCCCAAAGCGTTTGAGGCCGGCATCTGGTGGCCACAGACCAAGTTCGGGCAGCCGGCTGCGGTGCCGTGCCCCAAGGGATCCGTCGGTGAGTCCCCGGGGCCTGTGGCATCCACGGGTAGGGAACTGAGGCACGCGTCCTTGTGGGAGAGCCGGTCGAGATGTGGGGACTCACGGAGTGTTTCGTGCTGAAGAAACATCAGCAGGCAAAGTGCCGGGGAGAAATCAGATCACCTTTTCCCTACCCGTAAATACACAAAGCAGGCAGAGGATGGAACAGAAACATGAACAGCGTAGTGCATGTGCGGACGCCTGCCTGTCAGACCCAGCCAGTCCCTGCTGCTTCGCTCAGGCTGAGGCACCTGGACAAATGGCTTCACTGTTTGTAGCATTGGGTTTCCTCTGTGAAGTGGGGACAGTGACTTTGTCCCCGCTGTGAGGGGCGTCTGGGGAGTGCAGTGAGGCAAAGGCCTGGCCGAAACAGATTCCTGGCACATGGGATCATGGCCGCCCGGCGGATGGTGTTGCTGATTTCTTTCCTTGCGGACTTGCTTGGAAGTGCTGGCTTCTGTTGGCTGGGCACCCGAAACGTCTGGTTGTCAGTGTCAGAGCAGCTTCGGCCGTGGCCCTGACATGAAAGAGGGGCGCTGGTGTTGGCCTTCCGGCCCCCCGGGGTTCTCACTGCCACACAGTGTTCTGGGTTTAAGTACATTCGGACTGGGGATTGAAATACACAAGCATTGATCAACAATTTGAGTTTCAGGCTTTGCATACCTGCTCTGCTTCCCTAGGAAACGCGGTCCGACACTGCAGCGGGGAGAAGGGCTGGCTGCCCCCAGAGCTCTTTAACTGCACCACCATCTCCTTCGTGGACCTCAGGGCCATGGTAGGGGCGCCTCGAGGATGCGTGTTCAGCTGGGGCACGTGTGTGTTCATGTGTGCATGCAAGGGTTTGTGTGGGCCGAGGCTCCTGGGCTGGCGAGGGTGGGGGCAGCTGTGATGCCGCAGGGACAGCCCCACAGGCCCGCAGCCTGGAGCCAGGAGGTTCCTGTGGACTTGGGGGCATTGGCACCTGAGCCAGGCACCCCCCACGTGCACTTCTGTCCCCCAGAGGACCCAGCTCTGTGTCTTTCGTTCTGAAAACGCAGGGTCCCTGCATTTGACTCCATTTGCCCCCTGATCCCGCCCTATTTCATAGCATTTGTTCCCATGCCTCCCGCTTGCTGTCTTTCTCTGAGCCCTCTTTGGCCCACCAGACCCTTGTTACCATGTTTTCCATGTTCTAGCTGTCAGCGGTGCTCATGTTTTGGGCTTCTGGGTTTTTTTGTGTGTTTTTTTTTTGTTTTTTTTTTGAAGACGGAGTCTCACTCTATCTCCCAAGCTAGAGGGCAGTGTCACGGTCTCAGCTCACTGCAACCTCTGCTTCCCAGATTCAAGCAATTCTGCCTCAGTCTCCCCAGTAGTTGGGACTTACAGGTGCCCACCACCACACCCTGCTAAATTTTTTACTTTTAAAATAGAGACATGGAGTATTTTTTTTTTCTTTTTTGAGATGCAGTCTTGCTCAGTCGGCCAGGCTGGAGTGCGGTGGCGCGATCTTGGCTCACTGCAAGCTCCGCCTCCCAGGTTCACACCATTCTCCTGCCTCAACCTTCCGAGTAGCTGGGACTACAGGTGCCTGCCACTACACCCGGCTAGTTTTTTTTGCATTTTTGTAGAGACGGGGTTTCACCGTGTTAGCCAGGATGGTCTCGATCTCCTGACCTCGTGATCCGCCCATCTTGGCCTCCCAAAGTACGACATAGAGTGTTTTTAAAATAGAGAGTAGAGACGGGTTTTCACCATGTTGGCCAGGCTGGTCTCGAACTCCTGACCTCAAATGATCTACCTGCCTCAGCCTCCCAAAGTGCTGGGATTACAGGCATGAGCCACCGTGCCCAGCCAGGCTTTTGGATTTTTTTAAGTTCCTTTCTGACAAGGAAACTTGCACCGGACAGTAGTGAGTTGCTGAGTAACCGCAGGAACCGAAAGCAACCAAAGTGGGTTTGCACACATCGCGACCACCTCCCTGTTGCAGAATGAGAAGCTGAGCCGCAACGAGACACAGGTGGATGGTGCCGGGGCCCTGCGGCTGGTGAGGGCGCTGCGCAACGCTACACAGCACACGGGCACGCTCTTTGGCAATGACGTGCGCACGGCCTACCAGCTGCTGGGCCGCGTCCTTCAGCACGAGAGCTGGCAGCAGGGCTTCGACCTGGCAGCCACACAGGATGCCGACTTCCACGAGGTAGGAGGGTGGCCGCCGCCCTGGCTCGGGGACACTCGGGGATGCCCGTGGGCGGGCGCTGTGGGGCTGGGCATCCACCTCAGCTCGTGGAAGATGGTTGTGTCTGGGATCCCTGAGGCAACCCCTCATTTCTCAAATGTGAGTCCTGGCGGGTGCAGCACCTGGCTCAACTGACAATCTCTACAGAGTGTTCCGGAAGGAAACGGGCAGGTCACAGCCTTGCCGGTGATCCCAGTGGGGCCTGTAGTGTGATCTAAGTGGCTTCTAAGTGGCCCACCTGAATCAGCCCCTCTCCCTTCCACGCAGCCTGTGATGTAGTATCGTCCACCCATTTGACAGGTAAGGAAACAGGCACAGAGAGAGCTAAGGAGTTTGTCCAGAGGCGCAGCTCGTAAGGGGCAGGGCCCGGCAGTGAGCCCCCGTGTCCACTCCCACCCGCAGCTCTGAGGTCCTGCTTTCAGAGGGCCGTGCCTCCGCCTCAACCGTCCAGCTCTGTGTGTGGAACTTGTCAGCCCCTGAGCGGTGTCTTTTTAGGGTGAATGCAGAGGAGACTCATGCAGCCTGATATTTGGAAACTGCCCTTGGGGACTCCAGAAGTTTCCTTGTGGCTCCACTGCAGGCCTCTTCATCCAGACAGGACCCCAGAGGAGTGCCTGCCCACACAGAGCCCACGGGGGACACCCTGTCCCTCCCACCCATCCACACGGAGCCCTCAGGGACCTCCTCATCCACAAAGGGCCTCCAGTCCATGCAGGGCCCCCATGGAACCTTCCGGTCTGCATAAGGACGCCAGAGACCAGGCAGGGTCCCCTTGCTGGGATTTGAGTTCCAGCCTGAGAGTTGGGCCAGTGGCGTTTATTCTCCACGCGTGACTCCGCAAACAAGTTTCCTTCCCGGTTTCTGTTTCTTTTCTTTTTTTTTTTTTTTTTTTTTGAGATGGGGTCTTGGGTCTTGTTCTGTTGTCCAGGCTGGAGTACAGTGGTGTGATCTTTGCTCACTGCAACCTCCACCTCCTGGGTTCCATCAATTCTTCTGCCGCAGCCTCCCAAGTAGCTGGGATTACAGGCGCCCACCACCACGCCTGGCTAATTTTTTGTATTTTTGGTAGAGTTGGGGTTTCACTGTGTTGGCCAGGCTGGTCTCAAACTCCTGACTTCAGGTGATCCACCCGCCTCAGCCACCCAAAGTGTCGGGATTACAGGCATGAGCAACGTGCCCAGCCCTGGTTTCTGTCTTGGGTGTGGTCCCCAAGCCCCTGAGCACCGCCTCATGCCCCCATCCAGTTGTTCACATAGGGGTGCGTGGAGGCTGAGGGTCACCCTCGGAGGAGCTGCCCACGTGTCCACAGCAGCCTCAGTGTGGGTCCTCTGCTCAGCCCAGGTTGTGGTGGTTCCATCACTGCTTTACGTGGTGGGGTTCAGGAGGACTTCTGATATTACCAGGGGC